GACGACGATGGTGGGTATGGATCTTGTACCTTCCTATGCTTCACATTGTCCACATTATCGCGTATGAGCTCGCCACCATTAGTTTTGCTTAGGATGCATACTATATTGCTAGTGTTTGATTGGATTTGGGGATTTCTTGCTACGGTTTCATTGTTCTCACTAAAGTTGAAAGATTCTGTACTAGATACAGTACTGGTAGAAAAGCGTACACAAAGGGACGCATGATTAAGTGGGATGTTCAAGTAGGTTCATTTTCCTTCTATTTGCTATTGACAAGCATGCGCAATGAGTTTCAGTGGTTGAGTAGTCAGTCTCCTATAGTATGGTTCTTTAACAAAAGGATCTGTGAAGATGTCAGACTAGAAAATGATTTCTAGATGCATGACTTGTTTGAAATGTATAAGGATTAGATGCACTGCAAAGTCATTGTAGGGGTGTTTGACCGTTGTCTTAGAGAGGCTGATGAGTTTGCTGTTTTAGAACCAATTTGTGTGATTCCACCGGACTTGCCAATAGGGAATGGGGATTCCATTAGCCCTGATGACAACCATTCAGCCCACCCAACTGATAATCCTTCTAGAGATGCAGAATATCCATTAGAGCCTGAACTTGAGCCTGACAGAGAGCCTGACATGTTTGACAATTAAGAGGAGTATGTAGGTGTTGATGATGAGGGATTGTATATGCCTGTACCATCTGCACAGGCAGCTAACAATGCAGACCCAGCTAACAACCATACTACCTCTGCTAATGTTGATGATTCTGTTGATGACGCTGATGATTTTGATGGGGTTGCTGATGCTGAAGGAGGTGTTCCTCTTGAGGCAGAGATAAATTATGCAGATCCACAGGAGATACATGTTATCCATGATCTAGAAAACCCTAAGATAGAGAAGGGAGAAAGGTTTCCTGACATTGTTGCCTTTAGGAAGGCAGTGAGACATCATGCAGTTGTGACATGTTTTGAGTTTGATAAAGTCATTACAGACAAGACTAGATTCATTGCCAAGTGTAAAGCTTAGAGTTGTCCTTTGCGCATTCATCTTCAAGAATTTTTTATGGCAAGACAATAGAGGTGAAATTGCAATTCTTATCCTTCTGACATCATTTACTTACCTACAGTCTCATGCTCTCCTACTGATATTACTATTGATTATGTGTGTGCAAATCAAAGTACTACCTACAAAGCATAATTTTCCTACTACTAAACTCAGAGAGGGCAAAATGGTAAGTCAAGGCTGGTGTGGAGATAGGTTAGGGGATTGGTTGAAGAGGAATCCAACTAAAGGTCCAAAGGAGTGTAAGAAGAAATTAGAGGGTGACTATGGTATTAAGCTCAAGTACTCCAAAGCTTGGTATGGCATGAAGGTAGCACTAGAGCAGATCCATGAAAAGTATGACGAGAGTTTTCAGCTTCTTTTCAATTGGGCAGCTTAGATTGAGAGGTCATCACCTGGCAGCCTAGTACAGATAGAGTTAGAGAAGGTTGAGAAGAGGCAAAGGTTTTGGAGGATTTTTGTAGCTCTTAAGCCTTGTGTTGATGGGTTCTTAGAGGGATGCAGACCCTTTATAGGTGTTGATGCTTCCTATTTGAATGGCAAGTACAGAGGACAGTTGGCATCTGCAACTGGTGTAGATGGGCACAATTAGCTATATCATATTGCATATGGAATTTTTGACATTGAGAATGAGGACAACTAGAAATGGTTCATGGAGCAGCTGCACAGAGCCATTGGAGATGTTCTAAAACTGGTTATTTGTACATATGCTAGTAAAGGTTTAGAGAAGGCAGTAGGAGCTGTATTCCCAAATGCTGAATATAGGGAATACATGAGACACATGTACTAGAATTTCATGAAATACTACACAGGTGATGTTTTCACCGATCACCATTATCCAGTAGCTAGGAGCTACACAACTAGACTGCTCAAGACCTCTTGTTTGATGTCACCAAGCTGCATCTTCAAATCAAAAGCAACCATCTTCAAGTCCCCACTAGACTGCTGAAGACCTTGAACAGCAGTAGCAGCAGGCCGCTGGACAACTTGAACAGCACCAACTGAATTGTGCCCAAAACCAAAAAAACTCTCCAAGAGATTGGGATGATTATTGTGCAAGTACAGCTCATATGCATCCTCAAACCACCAATTACCACATCTCTTTGAGCACCTGTAGTAGATGTTGTCGTTCTTGCTCTTGCACTTGACGACCGGCACCATGCACTGGGGGCAGTCGATGAGAGGGAGAGTCCTCCCCGGCTATGCAGAGCTCGAAGCCGAGGTGGCCATGGGCAAGTGGGGGCGGTGTGGGCGGCAGCGGCGGCGGCGGCTGCTCAGCACAACGGCGGGCTGCGTTACCTAACCCTAGCGGACGGAAACAGAGGAGGAAGAAAGGGAGCGCGGCGAGGATGAAGGAAGGGAGCGCGCGCCTGCGTCGTGGGCCTTATCCAATTGACCCAAGGGCATGTATGTCCATACGGAAATATGGAGCCAACGTATACGCCTGCAGCTGGGCCCAAGACGCTGTTGAGCGTATCCCGTGGCGTTCGACCGAGAAACACGAAGTTATAATGGTATGCTTCGAAATAGACGAATTGTAATGGTACTTCTCAAAATCTGAAAATTATAGTGGTGCCAATAAAAAAACCCCCCTTTTTCGGTTGCTGATATGCCACCGTGCCATTTTGTTTTGTGCCATGAGGTTTTTAATTCCCTTGCAGGTCCCTCCGACACCAACACGGCAACACATGCGGGAACCATGTTTCATCCTTTTATCCTAAAAAGGAAGTGGCTATGCATGGATTTTCTACTTCAGTTCCTTTTCCTTTGCAGATACTATGCCCCTTGCAGTTGAGTCCCTCAACAGTCAACACATACGGGGTCATTTTCTCTTCTTTTCATCAACGGTCAATAGATACGGAGCCATCAGACACGTTTCTACGTGCCGCATCGTTAAAAATTTAAAAATACGCGCCAAATATTTAAATCCGGATGGATAACATCTAAAAAAACCCAACCAGCTGATTCATGCTTAGATCCTGTTTGGATGCAAAGTATTTTTGGAGTATTAGAGAAATATTATGGTTTTACAAAATACTTTCTGGCACATTATTTCTAGTAAATTCTTCGCAATCATGTTCCATTAGCTGCAATCCAGAAGAATAAAGGCAGGGTAAGTATTCAGGAGTAAACTAGCTAGTACGCGCACGTCAATTTCTGTAATAATAATATCTACATATTGATTGATGCATCTATTGGAGCTAGTCACGAATTGGTTGAGCAATATATAATAATAACTTTTTGAGCCAAATATGTATTCCTATGTATATATATGCTTGCTTTATTTTCTCTTTTTTTTTTGGCGAACATGCATGCTTGCTTTTTTTGTGCTGTATTAATTTGGTAATGCTGTGACTCAAACGTCCGACGTTCCGGACGCGCATCAGATAAGACTCGACCGAGCCACGAGCGACGCGCCCTCGGCTCCTTATCCATTCCCATCCCGTCCCCGTGACTCCCCGCACCCACTCTCTGCTCCGCTCGCCCGCTCCCCCTCTTCGCTCCTGCGCGCTCCTGCGCTCGCTGCTGCTTTCAGGGACGGACGTCACGCTCGCATCTAGCTCGCTGTCGCCCCGCTTGTTCGCGCTCCCTCGCTCCCTCCCTCCCTCCCTCCCTCCCTCACTCCGCGACCTCCATGCCACCGACAGAGGGCGACGGCAGCAGTTTTCGGCGAGGTAGGTAGGTCCTTCTCTAGATCTAAGCCCTCCTCCTCCTCTTCCTCTAGATCTAAGCTATCCTCCTCCTCCTCCTTCTCCTCCTCTGGATCTGGATATGAGGGACGCGGCGGTGGCCAAGGTTCCGACGAGCTCTATTGCAGTAGGCTTGTTTCGCTGTTGCAACAAGTAATTTCTTTGTTTCATTAGTCTTTCTTGATTTCCATCTCGCATCGCGCTTTGTTTCTATTGTTGCAGTAGCTTTGGTTTGCTGTTGCGATAATTAATTTTTCTTTATTGCATTAGTCTTTTTTTCTGATGTTGCATCTCGCATTTCCTTTTTTGTTTCTGTTGTTGCAGTAGCGTTTTTGCTGTTGCAACAAGTAATTTTTCTTTGTTGCATTAGTCTTTTTTCTGATGTTGCATCTCGTATTGCGCTTTTGTTTCTGTTGTTGCAGTAGCTTTGGTTTGCTGTTGCAACAAGTAATTTTTCTTTGTTGCATTAGTCTTTTTTTTTTATGTTACATCTTGTATTGCGCTTTGTTTCTGTGGTTGCAGTAGCTTTGGTTTGCTGTTGCAATAAGTCATTTTTCTTTGTTACATTAGTCTTTTTTTTCCTGATGTTTCATCTCGTATTGCAGTAGCTTTGTTATTTTTGTTGTAGTCGCTTTTGTTCTGATGTTACAGTGGACTTGTTCTGATGTTTCATCTCGCATTGCGATTTGTTTGATGTTGCAAATAATTTTTCTCATGAGAGCGTGGTGAGGATGTGACACACCTAGCATGGGCGCGGCGGGGGGATGGGTGGCGCGACAGGATGGCAGGGGACGGGCGGTGCGGCGGGATGGGGGACGGCCGGCGCGGTGGGATGGCTAGGGGACGGGCGGCGTGGGGATCTCCTGCGGGGTGAGGCAAACGGATGGAGATGGGGATGGGGATGTGGATGAGGTGCGGGAGCGCGAGGTGTGGGCGTGTCGGGGCGTGCGTGGAGGCATCCGATGGAAGCGGCTCACATGCATGCGTGCGGGGGAGCGGTTTGGTTGCGGACTTGCGCACATGCAGGGCAGCTGCGCGAGCGTCCGGACACTAGCGCCCGGATCGGATCGGACGTCCGGGCGCTAGTAGTTCCGGTATTAATTGCATAAAAAAACGGACGTGTGTATGTATTAGACAAGACAATAACTTAACGTAGAGTTCCTCTAAGTGTGGTGCAGACTGCCGGAGGAACATGATCCAAGCAAGGCCACTCTCCCGGTGGACATTACGGATCTTTAAGTTCTTGAGGTCGCTAATTAAACACATTTGTCAGACGTCTTGACGTTTCTGGTTGAACCCAGATCTGCACAGATTAATAAAGCCAAAGCAATTATTAATTAATATATAAGTTGATTAGGAAAACCACGTACAGTACATACTATTGTTATTATTTTGGGAAAAAAAAAACGCACCGTGCTACTGCTAATAACTAGTACTAGAGTATGTATATGTATTTATTTTGCAAAGAAACAAATAAAGGGTATATAGAAACTTAAGACGTACTACACTTACGTTACTGTCTCTGAAATTGAGCCGCAGATCCCTAAGTGCAGTGTTGTTGGTAAGGATGCAGCTTAACTTGAGAGTCTGTTCGTTATGGCCGATGTCTTCAGACAAGGTGACAGTAGTGAGGCGTGGAACATGACCCAAGGATACAAGCTTATCAGTCGTGAAGAGCCAGCCCTGCAAAGTGAAGCGCTCCAATCTGGGAAGCCATACGAGCTTGACGCCACGGATGGCGCACAGGCAGATCCTGATGTCTTTGAGCCGTGCGTGCTGCACGTCCCACAACGCACCGACCCCGGGGCCGCAGTTATGCAAGGACAGCTTCTCGAGCCCTGTACAGGTAGTGAGAATGTCGTCCAAGTCAGGCTTGCCGTGGCTCATCTTCTCCAGGGTGAGCTGGGTCACAGCTCCGAAACAAGCTGCTGGGCAGGCATCGAAGAGAGCCCTGAAACGCCGGCCGTACCCGACCAGAGAGCGCTCAGTATCTTCGTAGTCGTCGTCGTTGTCTAACGAGCGGCGGCATGTCGTCGTGATCGTCAACTCGGCGGCGTGCACCTTGCCGCCGGCGACGGCGGCGTCGAGTAGGCGTCCCAAGGACATGTAGTTGTGTCTAAGATAGAATCTCATGGCAAGAGTCGTGGTGTGGACGTCGAGATTATTATCATTGCCACCAGCCGGCGTCCTCCTAGACTCTAGCAGCGCCGTCGCCACGTCAGCCAGCTTATCTCCCGCTTCGGATAAGATGTCATCGTGGTCGTCCAAGTCGCGTGCATCGCTTGGCAAGAAGGCGGCGATATCCAGGGCAAGCCTCGGGAGCAGAGCGGGAAGACACCGCCATCGCCGGGAGAGGACCCCCGACCCTGACCGCGTCACGGAGGCTGAGCTTCTCCAGGATTGACACTAGGACATCGCTGGGCAGCTCGCCTAGCATGTCTTCCTCCGTGGATCGACCAATAATGCATTCCATCATGATCTAGTTTACGTTCCTTATCACAATGCTGATGATGACGACCACGATGATGATGGCGGCTTATTGCAAAAACTTTGTATTTCGATCGATCGTTCTCACCAATGCAATGCACGCAACGATTGAAAAAGAACGCCAGCACCCTGGGACCTGAGTATAATGTATTATTTCGATGCACGACTCTGATCCGCTTCGGATCGGAATACCTAGCCTCCGGTAATTTTAATAGGTTTATTACGTGTCCAGTGTCCGACTCTGATACGATAATTTAATTAATATAGGTTATATACGTGTCTAGTGTTCGATTCCTATCCTTCCACATCCATCCTAGGCACGCGTACGTACGTTTCACCGTTTCTTTTTTCTTCTATCTAGTTTTGTTTATTTATTATTACAAGTCTTATTTCTTTTTCATAGCTTCTCCGTTGATATTTATTGTTGTTCTTTTCATTTTCATTTTCTTATAAATTTTATTTATCTTCTCTTATAATAAATTACTACTTATTTTTAATTTGGTGTTCGCATAATATGTATGGGATGTTTCACTAGGCCTGTTCATAAGCCGGTTTATCCAGTTTTTGGATAAAACCCAACCCAACCCGCAAGATTTATCTGCCTACGGTTTCTAACCCACGGGTCCCATGGGTGCCGGTTTCCTTCTGATCCTCCCCATTCGCCCGCTCCTGGCGTCGAGGCAACACCGCGCCCGCCTCGAGCCGTCCGTACGCAGTTTTTGCTAGAGACGCTAACACAGGACGACCAGGCCGGCTCCTCCGTGCGTGGCCACGGCGCCGCCGCCGACCACGCGAGCGCGGCTTGGCGTGCGTCTGAAGGTGCAGTAACCGGCGTTGGACAGGACCTCGAAGCTGTGCCTCTGCCCTCCGTTGGTGCGCACGGGGTACGCTGTCAAGCGGCGCTGGGCACGTCGCCCGACTATTTCGTCGGCGTCGCACTACGTCACAGATAAAGTAGTACAGACGATGTTTAGGGGTAGGTCAGGGTTATAACCGGACCATGTAATCATGTGTATAGGTTTTTCCACGATGTATTTTACTCAAAATTTTTATTTTTTTATTTTTCATGTTTTACTTTTTTTTTCTATATTCCATAAAATACATTCGATGTTCGTGTAGTATCCATGTGATGTTCTATGGCATATTTCAACTATTCACATTATATTCATGAGATGTTTCATTGGATATTCTAATGCATTCATATAGTACAGTATAAATGTCATGTTTCACTATGTATATTTGATTATTTATCTAGTACTCAAGATGTTATGTGGTGTATTTTAGCTTGTTTAAGTAGTATTCACGTGATGTTCTATTTTATTTTCATCTATTATGTGGATTTTTCTTTTTTATTATTTTTCCTTACGTTTGATTCTATCTTTTATTTTTTTTTTTATTTCTATTTGAGAAATTTTTAAATATTTTTCAACGTTATGTTCTTTTTTTTACTTTCCTTTATTAGGCCTTTTTCCATTTTATTGTTTTTCTTTTCCTTATGGTTTGCTATATATTTTATTAATTTGTTTCCTATTAAGTTATTCATTTGTTTAATTTTGTTATGTATATTTCATCACATGACTCATTTTTATTTCCCTTTTTTCCTTCTTCTTTATTTTACTCTAACTAATTGTTTTTTCATTTTTATGTTTTTCTATTATTTCCTATATTCTGTGAGATACATATGATGTTTATGTAGCATACATGTGATGCTGTATATGTTCATGTTGTATAAATAAGATGTTTTGGAACTATTTTTGAGTATCTATCTATCTATACATACGAGAATAGAAAAATATCGCTCACCTTAAATCCTTTTACCACCTAGTTGTTCACCATTGGATTCTACATCAAACACATTTTGTTGATTACTATTTATCCGATGGGTGGACCTAGACCCTTAACGTGGAGAACGCTACTATCGGGTATCGATATTAGGGATACCCAAAGCAAGAAAGTTAGTGCCCACGCTGACTTCCCCGGATAGTTTGAGATGTATTAAAAGGTCTCGCCCGACCTCGAGGCCGCGGGCTCCGTCTCGCCCGACCCCTTGGGTGCGGGCTCCATCTCGCCCGACCCCAAGGACACGGATTCCATCTCGCCCAAGGTCACGTGCTCCATCTCGCCCGACCTTAAGGCCACGGGCTCCGTCTCGCCCGACCACAAGGACGCGGGTTCCATCTCGCCCAAGGCCACGGGCTCCGTCTCGCTTGACCCCAAGGACGCGGGTTCCGTCTCGCCCGACCTCGAGGCCGCAGGCTCTGTCTCGCCTGACCTCGAGGACGCGGGTTCCGTCTCGTCCGACATGGGCCTATACCGCCGCCAACCTCTCCAGGTCCAGTGTATGGGCCTGGGTCAAAACTCTGACGCCAGGGAAGAGGCTAGCCGCCTCGATATAACCCGTGGCCATGACGGGCCATACCCGGGAATTCACATCAAGAACAGTGTCGGGCGTGCCGGTGCTGTTCTACCTAATCCTCGTACGGACGCTGATCAGGCGTGTCAGTTCACCACAACAACCGCCGAGACAGAGTGGAACGCCATGACCGGCAGATGACGCCTGCGCATGGCGCCAGTGACGAACAGGGCCGCGACATGGAGCCATCCCTATTGACATCTATAGGATCGGTGGGACCCGTATGAAGGAGAAGAAGGACCCGATAACCCTAGAAGCCTTCTTCTCTCTTGTTCTTCTTTTTTCTCCTCTGTAACCCGCGCTTTCCCTTCACCTATAAAAGGGAAAGCAGGGCGCCTCATGAAACGGGGGATCTAGACACAAGAGCATGACATGAGCACACGACTGAGCGGCAAGCGAGCTCTCGGCACCCGTTCACTCCTTCCACCAAAGACCTGGGATCCTCTTCATCTCTCACCTGTTTGTAACCCCTACTGCAAACCAAGTGCCGGTAACACGAGCAATAGCGAACTGGACGTAGGGATGTTCTGTCCGAACCAGTATAAACCCTTGTGTCCTTCGAGCACACCATCCGAGCCAGATGTGTAAATACAAATTTACTTGTCGATGGTCCAAAAACATTGACAGTTGGCGCGCCAGGTAGGGGCTTTTTGCGCGTCTCGACGTCCACATCAGGCCTTGGATGGCTAGTCACCTCGTCAGCTGGGTCTCGGGCGCACAAGTGCGCTTTGGGAACCTAGACTTTATCGTTACGACGGAGGTAGAGTTGGCGCAGGTTCCCACTACCATCAAGCCTCTCCACTCCGTCAGGTCTCGACATGATCGCCGAGGTGCTTGAGGAGCTGCAGCTACGCGCACCGGAGGCCCGCATCCCCGGGAGTGACCAACTCCTCGGCTTTGATTATGGGAGCCTAGAGCGCTAGCTCGGCACCTTCCTGGGACCCCAACCATCCTGGGAGGACCTCGCCGCCTCACCTTCTCGTTCGCCAACGTCATGACATAGCTTGTCGGAGGAGAGCCGCTCTCTCTAGAATACCTCATCCGGAGCGCCCCGACAGCGCTCCCTGTTTGGTCTGCGCAACACCATAGAGACCGTTGGTCACCTTGTGGTGCATCGCATGCCCCCATCCCCTACGAACGACGAGTTTGAGGGGATGACCGAATACGTCGTGGAATCTTTCCATGAGCTTCTCACGGGAGAATTGGAGTCACCCTCCGACTCTGACTCCAGCAGGGGGAGCCATCACCCCTCGCGAGAATGTTTCATGGCAGGTATCCCCGAGGGATACATCAAAAGCATCCATGAGGGAGGGGCTACCCCAATAGACAACCTTGACAACGAGGTTGAGGGGGATGCAGGGACCCCACCTAGCCTACGGGTAGAGCAGCTGAGGGCGCAGCACCAAGAGTTCAAAGAAGCATGACTCCAGCTTGAGCGAATGCATGGAGCTCGAGCGAGAGATCGAGCGCCATGAAGACGGTGGGCGTGCGCGCGCTGTGGCCCACTGATGCGACCGGAGGATCATCGAGGACGACGAAGCCCTCCCACACTTCACCCGGGCAAGCCAAAACATCGCTGCCATGGCGGCCTTGCTCTAGGGGCTTCTAGAGCCTATGACACCCGAGGATCATCGGGCCCATCGTGAGATTCGCACGCTACATGAGCGTGCGGTGGTGCAACAGGCCGAGAGCTCACTATCCCGATGACACAAGCTTGACGCCATCCAGCGCGAGCCCTCAGAGCGACCCAACAGGGACATGTCAATCCATCATGACACGCGCAACACCCTCGATGCCTGCAGGCGTGCCCACGGCGATGAGAGGGAGGAGGCTAGCCGTGGCTACCACCCTCGTCGTGGCGGACGCTACGACAGCGTTGAGGACCAAAGCCCGAGCCTCGACTTGTCGAGACCTCAGGCCTTTGGCCGACACATCCTCAACGCCGTCTTCCCACCACGGTACCGACCTCCGACCAACATCCTGAAATACTATAGGGAAACAAACCCCGGACTGTGGCTCGAGGATTATTGGCTTGCTTGCCAAGCCGGTGGAGTGGATAGTGACAATTTCTTTATCCTCAACCTTCCATTGTTCTTGGCCGATTCGATGCAAACGTGGTTGGAACACCTTCCACCCAACCGAATCCAAAGTTGGGCGGACCTAAAAGAGATCTTTATGGGAAACTTTCAGGGCACATACGCACATCATGGGAACCCATGGGATCTCAAAATTG